TCGGAACAGTGCTTTTAGGAGTAGCTTTCTTTAGCTTCTTCTTCGAAGCAGTATTTGAGTTTCCTCCAGCCTTGGGGTCTTCCCCAGTAGTGCTTGGTTTCCGCTTCTTGGGAGTAGTAGGAGGAAGCTTGTTGGTCTAAACGAATTTTAACGAAGTTAGATATAAACCACAAAGCTTGAGTGAATTCGAAACATCAAAAACTAAGTGATTACCGTTGGAATTGGGGCACTTGTTGTTGTTGGCGTTATTGTTGTTGTTGTAGTTGCAGCAGTAGTAGTTGTTTCGGGTGGAGTCGTTTTATCAGTGGTTTCAATGGAGGCTTGGGAGGCACTCCCTTCCTTCGACTTCGAGGCAGTCGTCTTTATCCTGATAGCTGAAAATCGAAACAATTAAAGCAAAGGTTAAAGATATGGGAAATAAAAGACATTTGGGATTTTCCCAAGCGTTCGCACCTGTGCCTTGATCAGATTTAATTGACATGGCAGAAAGGTCGTATCGAAGTTGTCCTGGGAAATCATGAAGCCAGTATCGAGCCCATGTCACAGTCTCAGATGGATTTGGTTTCCTTTGAAGATGTTTGAACATCTCTTTGCAAGTAAACCACCATGGATATGGGGGAAACCAAGCCAGAGCCAGTTCTGAGGTAGGTAATATGGGAAATTTAGGTGGATGCATTTCGAATGCCAACCTATACCTATCCTCAGGTGACAGCCCTGAAGGAAGTTTTAGCTTAGAAACTTTTTGTTTAAATTTTTCCTTCAAGGTCTCAGCTGCTTGATGCACAGTGGAGTCCAAGCGCGTGGGGTCGTAAGTAGTTTCAAAATAATTTTGAAAAGCTTTTATCTCTTTGGCATGAGTAAACATACCTTTCTTTGCTGGTACCTGCACATCGAAGGCATCAATTAGTTTTTGTCGAATTGTAAGTGTATCGAACATACAAGTTTGATAAAACTTAATCCACCACTCCAGAAATCCTTTAGCCGCGAGATGGGTAGGTTCGAAGGCTATCAGCTCAAATTGGGCGAATCCTTGATATTGTTCTTGCTGGATCTTGGCTTCCCTTGCCTTGAAAGTTCGTCCAGAAGTGATGGCGCCCTCAGTTTGGAACAAAGGTTCAGGGATCAGTTGGCATAAGCCAAACTGCCTCGAAACAAAGTTTGGTTGGTAGGCAAAGAGAAGAATTTGGTTCTTGGCTGGGGTTATCCTTGAAGAGATGAGTCTAGGAAGCAAGAAAGCTCTCCATACATCCTGAATCTCCTTGCTCTTGATGGCTTCTGAGAGAGCCATGGTGAACCAAGAAGGTCCATGAGCCCTCGAAGCAAAAGGCGCCATGCTCTCTTCGAACTTGTGCCTTTTGGAGAATATCATGATGTACTTCGAGAATTGAACCTTGAAGTCATCCTTGTCATCATTAGGAGTTAGTCTTCGAAGCCTAGTGCCTTCGACTATTCTATCACTTATTTCAGAATCCTGCTCATCTATGGTGTTGGCGGTTGATAAGGAAGGTTCGAACATGGCATTTAGCCATAGTTGGAGTAACCAAAATGGGCCAGCTAATAGAATTTTTTTGGAGGTGTGGGATTTGAGGCTCGAAACAGCTGACCTCAGGCTCTCATAGAGGTCAACTAAGAGTAATTCACTTAGGCACACTTTGCGATTTTCGTGTAAATCCCTAGCTAGAGGAATGAACCTACTAGCTACCTGCAGGGATCTACTGCAGAAAACGTATCTAGACAGCCACAGGGTTAAGAAAGCAATGTGCTCTATGTCAGACACATTGTCCCCTTCAGCATGATAATGGCTGATAAATTTGGAAAAGCTGGCTAACTTGACTTCGAAGTCAATTATGCTTGAGTGTTCTTCGTTGTCAGGAACATAAGTTTCTCCCACTGGCGACAGCCCAGTAATGGCCGTTATATCGAAGAAGGTTGGGGTAATCATTCCACCTGGGAGATGGAAAGTGTTGTAGGTACTATCCCAGAAATAAAGGGACGCAAACAGCAGAGGATGGCTATAGGTGAATCCGGGTTTCGATAGCTTAATGAGGTTATAAATGCCTAATTCTTCCCATTGCTGGGATTTCTTGGCTTCTACTTTCGTGAACCAATTTTGATAAGCAATATCAGAAGTAGGGCAAGATCGAAATGGCTTAAAATTGCTTTTTACATAATCCAAAACAAATGGGTCCTTGGGAGGAACAGTTGGGGTTTCTACGGTATTTGAACTAAGAGATTCTACTGCCCTAGGGGCATCCATTTTGTTGAATAAGGGTTTGAAGCTATAACAGACGGGAAAAATTATCCTGGTGTCCTTTAATATTTCAAAAACTGTAAGAGGGCCATTTAAGGCTAACCTCTTACCAGCAACATGGGTAGGGATGAGTACCTGTGATGCGTACATCATTTCTTTTTCTTTGGAAATCATTTGAGGAGCAAGAGCAGATTGGCCTTGAATGGTGATGATTTTACTCTCCATGGTTGCTCCTGTAGTTTTTCCTTTCTTCTTGGAGACTTTCTTGAGTTGGGATGAGGTGGAAGAAGACATTTTTGTTGTTTGAAAGCTTGGATTGTTTTATGAGAGAAGAAGGGTAAAAATTCTAAGTATGAAAGGTTTAGAGTGTGAAAAGAAAAGAAGAAGATTAAGTTGATGTTTTATAATGAGAAGTTTAAACATCCACCGAATAAAGGTGTGATACGTGGAGATCATGGGTTGGTGTGATGAAGAGGTGGCGTGAAGTTGATATAGGTAATAGGCGTGATTTAAAAATAATCATTACTTATAACTGCACCACGCTGTGAAGTGACTCTGGGCGGTTAAGGAATCCAAAAGGTGCTATGATTGATGTGACTGGAGTCAAATGCATTAAATGTTACGATGGTTCGAAAGTCCTATCGAAATCTTGTGTAGATGTTTAAAATAGGTATTTCTCAAAGGAATCGAAATACATATTTTAAAGGGGCAATTTGTTGGCTGAAGATTTCGATAATATTATTTAGAAGCCAAAAGAGATAAACGTTCTGATTGAAATGGAATTAAACGCCATATTTCGAAGTTGCAGAAGCAGTGTTTCGAATAAGGGTGTCAAAGCGTGAAGCTTCGAACGACAATTATGGGAACATAGTTAAAGGAGTCTCGGAACAACAGCGAGGCTGTGTTTGGGAAGAACGCTCGAAATAGAGAGACACCAAAAGCATTTAAAATTCAAATGGAAGCGGGACTTTCAAAGTTTGAAAGTTATGTGTTGGAGCATTTGGGGACACGTGGAAAGATGAAAGAAGCATTGTCTTGCATGTTCGAAACGTGGCATAATCCTGTAGCGAGACCGTTAGGGTCGAATTAGTATAAATAGAAGTCTTAGTATTAGGATTTCGGTGTGTCATATCTGTTATACAAAATACTCAATAACATTCAAACTACCACATGGCAAGGGAAACGAATGCAAGAGAAATGTATGTATGATAGCACCATGTATTTCTAACTTAATGAAAACCTTTTACCATTTCCAGTACTTTCCTCTATTCTTTTTGTCAGGCAACATTTACAAGTTTTCTTATTTACAGTCTTTTCACTTCGAAGTCTTTTCCTCAAAGTTTTACTTTTTACTGTTTTCTTTATATTTCGAGCACTTTATATTTCAGAGAACTGTCACATTTTCCATACCTTTACCTTCAAGTATTGTCCTTCGAGCGCATACTTTTACTTAAAATCATTTACAGATTTCTTGCATTAAACGTTTTTTGCATATTTTAAACTTCTACATTCCAGAAACCTTTTTATGTTAAACGTTTTGTAAGTTGAAACCATTTACTTCATTTTTCATGCAGTTTTATATGTCTCTACAATCAGCATTACAATTAGCATTTATTCGTATAACTTAGTTTTCATATACATTTTGACTACATTTTTAGACTCGTAGAGAGAGATCGAAGTAAGCCAAACACTTATACAATATCAACCGTGAATAATTGTTCGATTGTGAGAGTAACCTTAGTATCCAAGGAGTCCTAGGATCAATCTAGTCGATCCCGTGAGTTACCAGAGAGATTGAATAACAGTAAGAAAGATTATTCGATAGTTTGGAAGACTAGCGGTTGTTTACCAGAAATCACTGGAAACAGTTGGATATTAAACGATTAATATGATTTATCATTATATTAATTTCATATGACTCATGCATATATGAGTTTCCAATAACTAGGTTCGTTTAGACTACTATGTCGATCTAGGGCAAAAACCTTTCACACAATATTGTTTTTCAAATAAGTTTTAAATAATCATTTTAAAAGATAATTTTTATTTGGGAATCTATTTACCCCCTCTAGATCTGGTGCTGTAGTCTAACAAGTGGTGTCAGAGTTCCGATTTATTCCGTACTTCGAAACTCTTATTAAAAATGGGATGGTGAAATCCAATTTCGTGAGCGAGGAAATATGTTTCGTTCTGTCTTTTCTGAAACTTTCAGAAACTGCCTCCATTTTCATCTTTTTTTTCGATGTCCCCTTTCATTATAACAACCAAAACCTTATCCCTTAGGTATTGCTCAAAGACAAAAAAAAAATCTTGTAGAGATATTCGTTAAGAGATAATTATAAAAATAAATAATAATTAATGAACAAAAGCTAAATTGTTTTATTTACTTAAACAAAAATATATTTTTCTCTAAAGATTAAAATAAAAACTAAATATCCAATTTTAAATGATGAATAAAAAAGAAAAAAACATATATAATAATTTTTTTATAAACATTTTCTTTATAATCTAAAACTAAAAACTAAACTAAAACTTAATTAAATAAATAAAAACACATTTTTTTGATATAATTTTATTAAATGCTAATAATAAAATAAAACTATATTATTAATCTAAAAGTAAAAAAAATAAAAAATCTAAATAATGATTTAAATTGGAAACAAATGCGAATTAGAAAAGTCAGAGTAAAAATTGAAATGCAACACCAGCAACAAAGTCCAAAACCAGTGCTTGTGCTTCATCATCCACTATGCAAAAAAACAAATCAGGCTTCAGGATGGAAAATAGGAATAGAGGCCCAACGACTTCATGCCCAGTCCATTCAGATCTTTATTTCAAACTTCATTCAGATTTTGTTTTATGATTATTAGCAAATTTCTGTTATTAAAAGAATTAGAAAAAAATGGAAAAAAATTAAACGATGTAGTTTTGTAGCTTTGTTAGGGTTAAGCAGTTGTGGCTTTTGAACTTCACGTGAACACAGAGCCATCTTCTCTTCTCATCGCGGCGCTACAGTTTCTCATTCATCACCTTCTTCTCTTCCGATCAAACACTCCGCCGTACCAGACTACCACCACCGTCCGTCTCTCTTCCACTCACCTTCGCGCTTTCTCTCAACTCCATAGCTCCATCTCATTCGATTTCCTTTCAACGCGTCTCGAAGCTCCATCTCATTCGATTTCCTTTCAACGCGTCTCGAAGCTCCGTCTCGTTCGATTTTGACTGCGAACCAACCTTCGTCATCGGCTCCAAGCTTCGTCTTGCTCCATCTCCGCTCAAGCGTTTTTGTTCGCCTTCGGTTCACTCATCTCCAACCTTTTGCTTCGCTTCTACGCCCTCACATCATGCCTCGATCTCTCTTCAGTCCGAACGAAAACAAGAACACGATGCAGAATAATGTAAAAGGATGAAGGATAGCAAAGTTTACCTACCGGAGCCGAGTCCGGTGCTTCTTCAAAGCGATGAAGATGGTGAAAACCGAAACTCTTAGGTATTTGTCTTCTTTCTCTGTTCACTCTTCTTCTTCCTCTCAATTCTCTTCGGTGAATTGTGTTGTTGTTCATGTTGTGCAATGATGAAACTTGTGTTGTTATTGTTGCTCTCAATTGTTGATTGAAGTTGTGCGGTGATGTTGTAGGGATTCACGTTGATGCAGTGTTGTAGAAGTTGTGATGAAGTTGATAGTGGAAGGAATGTTTGAAGTGTGGTTATCGTGATGGAGGTTGGTGCTGAACGCTGAAGATGCAGAGAGAATTCAGAGAGCTTTTTACAGAGAGAATGGTTGAAGAAGTTCTGAGATTTTTGACGAATGAATCATTCTCTTCAAGAAAATGAGAAGGAAGAGTTTAAATAGGTGATGAAGTTTGTTAGAGGTAAAGCAATCTCAGCTCTTGATTTTGAAAGTTTGTTACAAGGAATGAATGGTGAGATTCAATTCTATTATGAGAGTTGTCAAATTCTATTTTGAGTTAATTTTTGATTTAATTCTTTTCCTCCCTTGTTTTTTATTCTTCTGATATTTTCCTGAATTTATTTTGAACTGAGGAAAGGGCTCCTTTATTTTAGCACCGTGAGTATATTAATGCTCTGTGAATAACTCCCAGGAGCACCAGCAGAAGCAAGTGGCATTGGTTATCACCAAGTCCCTGAACATTTCGAGGACCCCTAAGTATGGATGCCCTTAATCTTAGATATATAGATATCTCTTTTGCTTCCTGTCGCATCTACTTTGATAGTATTAAGAGAACCTTGTCCGTTCGACGCCAATATATTCTTGCATTTCTCTGAATGTTAAGATCGTTGTTTTGTTGTGTTTCGTGGTTTCACAGTGTGCACTTCGCCTTGAATTATACTTGCATTGCATCCTGTTATCACTTTTTCTGCACTTGGAACTGAATGTCAAGCCTTGGTTTTGTTTGGATCTGCAGGCCACGGGTTGGATAAATGATGAACCAGTTTGCAAGCATTTTGAACTTAGTTATTTGAAATGGATTTTGGACAGGTTTCTTGTGTAAGTTGCAACATGAGTTGTCCGAAGTTTTGGCAAAGCTTTAGTTTATGGACATGGTGAACTTGAACTGATTTTTGACTGTTTTTTTTCCTTGGGCAGGTTTGGTTGCAATTACTTGGTCATGAAGATGTTTGGCATAATTTGAAGAGGAAGTTTTGGATCATGGAAGTGAACATGAATTTTGAAGATTGAGACAAAGGAAAAGTTGAAGATTAGTGGAGCAAGATAGAGCTTAAAATTTTGTTTTCATGGTGTAAAATTTTGTAACTTTGTAATTTTCCTTGTAATGTGCCTTGTAATACTTGGAAAGAAATATAAATGACAGTTGAATATTTTATGAAGTTTTTTTTGAATGATCTTGAAATGGATGCTTCTATACACCTCAAACTACAGTGAAACCCTATCTTGCATGACCATTGATCCTTTTGAAACAAGGTGCTTTTATTCAATGAAATGCATGATATGCAAATGGCCTAATGAGGATATGCAGATGAAATGTTAAACATAAGCCAAATAAAAGAGAAATCAGGAGGGAAAATTTTGGGGTGCAACAACCGTGTATCAGCATATGATTTGATTCTTGATAAACCGTACCACCACTTGTTTGGTCACATTGGTGTATGAAGTTGCTTCGATCCATTTGGTGAAGTAATCAATAACTACCAGAATGATACAATGTTCGTTTGAAGATTTAATCTCAATCATATCAATTCCTCACATAGAGAATGACCATAAATACGAAATAACATTGAGTGGAGTCGGAGGCACATGCACCTTATCCCCCTAAATATGACATTTATGACACTTCTTGACAAAATCGAATGATAAGTTTCCCATTCACCTTTGATCTGATTGATAATCAATGTTGAATCCCCAAAGATATTGAGGATCTTAATCATGAGATCAATAGCTTCTTCAAGGCCTATAATACACACTTCATATTCTGCCATATTATTCGTACAATCAAAATTCTTCCTGTCAACGCAGGTTTCTCAAAGATATACTTGATAGGATCCATTTTGGATATCAACCAAGTAGTTTGATTCAACATATACTACCGAAGACGTCGTGCATCCCATGCCAAAGCACAACAAGTTTTCTAACTTAAAGAATACCGAGACTCTCAATCTGTGAACTTCTTACTCAGGTAGTAAACAACATGTTATTTCCTACATGTATCATCCTGTTGTCTGAGAACATAACTCATCGATCCTTCTAAGACTATTAAATACATGGTCAAAGGCTTCCCTTCCACTGCCAGGATCAAAATAGGAGGCTCAAACAAGTAATCTTTAATATTGTCGAAAGCCTTTTGAAAATCTTCATTCCACACAATACTTTGATCTTTACAAAGAAATTTGAAGATTGGCTCACAAGAGACAGTCATGTGAGACATGAACCTAGAGATATAATTCAAATGTCCGAGAAATCCTATGACTTGCTTTTTTGTTCTAGGTGCAGGTACGTCTCGAATGGCACTGACCTTATCCAGATCCACTTCTATGCCTTTATGATTGACAATGAAACCCAAAAGCTTCCTGTTGTACCCCAAAATTTATCCTCTCGTTTATCAAGAGTTTGCTCAGAAGATCTCCTTGAGCTCAAGACTGCACTAGGATTGATCAGCTCAAGACACCTCCTCAAGCACTGATGACTGAAAATTAGGGTTTGAGATTGCACAAGGATAATTGAACTTTTAATTCTCCATATGAATTTCATGGATCATTATGGACCCTCAAGATTACTCATGTCAAGTTTCAAGCCTTGGATCACACTTTTGAATAGTCAATTGAATAGTGGATCTAAAAATCAACTGTATTGGGGGAAAAGTCAACTATGGTCAATTCACAGTCAAGCTTCATAATTTTTGATCCACATCAACACTTTAGACTCATATGTATCATTTGATCAATTTTGGACCATAATTCCTCAAGAAATTTGAATCAAATCCTCAAAAGGGCAAAATGGTCAAAATTAAGATTTTGACTGAGAAGGGGCAATTTCTAATTTTTAACCTAGCAATTGGTCAATTGGTTTAAGGCATGATCTCAAGAGTTAAATTGCACCATTTTGACCTAATGACATGGTTCAAAACATTCCAAGTCCATTGGATTGACAAATGAATTTTGCAGTCAACTGATCAAAAGTCAACTATATACTGAAAAGTCAAACCTTGACTTTTTTGGTCAAATTCAAGTGCCAAAGATCATAATTCATCAAAACATGTCAAAATATGAAACTTATTCATCAAGAAATAAAAAAGTCAAGATTTCATTTTGAAAGGTCGAAATTTCCATACTTAGAAATTTTTGTAAGTGTTGAAAATCCATGTTTTTTTCATAACTTTGAGCCAAATTTCCACCATGATGCAAGATGATTCAAGAGAAACTTCCAACATGAAAGTTGTAGATCTCCATGAAATCTACAACTTTGCTTCACACAAATTCTCCTAAAAATTCTTGGATCTCAAGTTACAATTTCAATAACATAGGGTCATGAAACTAAAACACTTAGTGAAAATTTGCCCTAATTTGGTCAGGATTTTGACTCAACTTCATGGAACTTTTTCATATAGTTCCAAGGTGAATCTTCAAAGTCAATTCAAAGATGGGTTGTAGATCACATTGCAATATTTCCAAAATATCCAAGGAATCTTTGAGATCATTCTTGAGTAGGGAGAATCGAAGAGATGAAGTTGGTGTTTTGTCACTTGAATTACAAGGCATTTTGTGATGAACAAGAATCCAATTTCAAACCTAGGCTGCATAATCTTGCTTTGCAGGCCTCCTAACTTGTGTATCTATCCATTATTAATGGATTACACAAACTTTTGAGCTTTAATCCAAGTTGTAGCGATAAAAAATGTAGCGGGGTAAATCGGAGATCGAACTATTAATTAATTCGTCTCACAAAAAGCAAGAGTCGCCACCGCGCTTTATTATTTCCAAGGGAAAAGGGAAAAGAGCGAAATAAAACCCTAAAATATGCAATGTAAAATAATACTTTAAAAGTAATGAAAATACAAGGCGTTTTGAAAAGAGGTCTAAGGTTCGGGGGTTGGTTATACAACGGGAAGGTATTAGCACCCAATGTATCTATAGTATTCTATAGGAACCTTTTGAAATATTTGTTTATTAAAATGTTTGTTTGATTAAAAATAAATTGTTTTGGCCAAAAATGGGTATGAACGAGTTTTTGAAGATACGACGACCTAATGTCGAAGTTTTGACTTAAAAAGTGTGAGTTTTGAAAAAAAATTGAATATTTGGAAAAATTATCTTAAGTTTTTAACGAAATAATAAAAGGAGGATGAATTAGGATATTCGCACAATGTTTTTTTATGGCATGAAGTCGACAAAAATTAAACAATTCCCTTGGATTTTGCAAGCAACATGAAGATTAAAACTAAAAATATAAACACTCCAAGATTTTAAAAGAAAACCAAAAGAGAAGCCATGGAATTAAATCGAAATTATCACAAACTCAACCAACATGTATCATGGGAGGAACATCATAAGGGGCAATGAATTCAAAGAGATAACTTACAAACTTATCAATAAAAGACTAGTTAAAAAAAACTAACAAAATTAACTAACATACTGACCAAACGAAATATCAAGATTTAAATAAATTATAAAACTAAACTAATTAATTGGGTTATAAACTGAAAACGAAATAAAGGTCTAGCATGGGACTGAAATCGAAATCGAACAATGCTCCTTTTGAACTTTTTTTTTCTCTTCGAACTCCCTCTTTCGAACTCTCTCTTTTCTTTCTTCGAACTCCCTCTTTCGAACTCTCTCTTTTCTCTCTTCGAACTCCCTCTTTCGAACTCTGCTTTTCTCTCTTCGAACTCTCTCTTTCGAACTCTGCTTTTCTCTCTTCGA